CCGGCAGCGCCCAGGAGCCAAAGGCCCTCATGCTCGGACCCCAGTGCAGGCGGCGGGGTGGGGCTATCACCACACAGATGGTCCCAAGGAACAAGCCCCCTATGGGCTCCGGGGCAATTCCCACGCCCAGCTCCAGACCCGGGACAACAGTGAGGCGCTTAATGGGGTGAAACTACCACCCGCCACACGGTGCAGTGCCTGGAAAGAGGAACCTCAGAGGGTTTGTGGAACGGTCAGCCCCAAAAGCCGGTGGCCCCAAGTTAAGAAACCCAGCCCCACCGAGGGAGGGTCTGCACCCCGAGTGCTTGGTGCCCGGGCAGTGCGGCAGGACCCTGCCCGTCCTGCACCCACGTCCTGGCCACGACTCCTGAAGACCACAGGCCAAAAGGTGACAGGGCCACGGCCACTCAGGAGCACGGCCCTGTCCAGGAGCTCAGGGCAGGGGTGCAGCACTGCAGATGCTCGCCCTGAGGCCCTGCTCCACAGCCACTCGGCGAAGCGTAGGAGTAGCACCTGGCTTCTCCCCTGGGGCGCTGGGACGCAGGCCCGCCTGGCAGGGGCTGCCTCAGAGGACAAGGACGCCATGATGGATTTGGCCCAGGGGACTTGCTAGCAACACCAGGAAGTGCACCTGAACTCGAGGAGGGCTGCACCTGTGGGCAAAGTCCCGCGGGCCTAGCTGTCCTCCAAAGGCCTCCGCACACCCCTGCACCCGGAGGCTGCACCCCTGCCTGCATCATCACACAACAGTACATGCTGGCTGCACCCCGAGAAAGGACCTGGGTAGCCTCCAAAGGTACTTTCCGGAGCCAGCACCTGCACCTACACCAAGTACAAGACCAGCCAGGGACCCCAGCAGCAGCCCAGCTCCTACCGGCCTGCGCAGACTCTGCCCTAAGATCCAGAGGCCACTTCTGCGGGGGGCCCAGGGCCCCTCGCGGTTCCGGCCGCCTTTCGGGTGCCGGCAGCATCCTGTGGTTCTGCTCAGCCTCCAGTTCTGGGGGCACGGGGCAGGGCGGGGGCATTAAAGCAGGAAGACATCCCCCCCCCCCTTCAAATCCAGGGACCCAACCACTGGCAATTCCGACCACTGCCAGGGAACCGAGTCTCCGGTGGGTGGGAACCGTGCCAGGCCCGGACTCGTGGGCCCTTCTTATCCACCGCGCCCCCGGCCCCCGGGACGCAGGCGCAGCCGACGCAGCAACGTGGGCCGAGAACTGACAACGAGCTGGCGGAGGGTCACGGCTCGCTCGAACGGGACGGCGGCGGCG